AAGATAGTGATGGAGAACTCAAGAATCAAGTCAAAATCAGAGAAACAAAAATTTACCAGATTTTAGATTTGATCAAATAATAAAACGGTCGAGAGATGATGGTTTGTGCCAAGATCTCATCCTAAACTTCTCCAACTTTAAATCAGCTGTTTGGACAGAAAAAATCAAATCTCATACGGCTTTTGTAACATTCTGGCTCTTAACGTATTGTTCATTCATTAGCGACTAGAAATAGAAATTCATTCATGCAATAACATCAAGCAATTTGGTGCCAACAGCGATTTGTTCATCTATTTTAGACTAAATAGATTTAATAGAATTCAACAGTGAAAAGTAGTCAAAAAACTAGTTGCTTTTGCCTGGCAATAAAGGTGAAAAACTGAATCAAGACGATAATAGTATCGATCAACGCTTAAGATTTTTGAAAAAAGAGCAAAATAACACCACAACAATAAAGAACTGAATGAAACAAAACAAACATGTAATTTATTCACAGAAACGTCTCTCTTTTTTAACTTTATGAGCCCTTCCAGTTTCGGTAAATTATTTTTTAGATAAAATCGCCATCAAAACATACTAAACCACAGGCCTAAACACAAAATCGTACATTTGACCTTCGTAAGTGCTGAAGATGCAAAAATAAATCTGCAAAAGCCACGAAGGCAATACAAAACATTTCTGAATCTTCACCAACGTCACTCACCATTGTTCACGGTTTGCAATTATTTCTTTAGATCCAACATTCCTGAAGCGCCTAATTACATCTGTCTAAATAATACAAATGGCTTGTTTTGAGGCACAAGTGCCAAACTTTCCTTGGCTTATTTGAGTTAAAACAATTCTCAGTTCATAACGATGGGAAAATGAGCAGCTGCTGGGCCTTGAACTCAGCATGCAACATTTCATTCCGTCATCAAACGCTCTAGAAACTGTTTTAAGAAACGTCTTAAACAAGGTAAATTTAACTGACTTGTTTTACAAAAAAAAGCAATAAGGCTACATCCATAAAGAATTTTTTAGCAAGAAACTCAAAGTTTCTCTATAAAGTCTACAGCTTAATTTTAGGGGATGGCTAAACCCACTCTCAGTTTTAGAGATTATCCTCCCTTCACCTTTTTACTGGGCATTCTTATGCAAAGATTTGCAATTTAAAAACAAAGTGGTTTCCTGGCTGAGAATTTTCAAGCTGAAAGTTTCGCAATTTGCACGTACCCTATTTCAGAAGTTAAGATTCACTTGTGACTGCTATTGCTATTGTCTAGTTTTAATCATCATAAATTGGAAGTAGTGTGCAGACTTATTGTGTTCTGTTTCAATATGCAAGCAATAAACTGTTTAAAAAAAGTTAAAACTACAGACGGTATTTTTTTATAGGTTTGGAATGATTTGTAAAAAGGCAGGCCTTGAAAAAGCAGAACAGGGCCCTAAAGGTATAGACTGAGAGACAAACAAGAAAAGTAAAGGCTGCAGTTTCGTGGGCAACCAGGGAAAATATTCGAGTCCCATTCGAAAACAAATTACATTTATGAAATTCAAAACAATTTCTGAGTGGCTAAACGCTGTATAACATCAATTTTAAAACCGATCCGATGCCGAGAGGAAATAATAACGCAAGATAAATAAAAACTCCAGCAGCAAAACGGAATTTATCAAATACAAGAGTTCTATATTTCGGGATCTGTCTGGAGGAATATCCGTATTCAATGTCTCGGACAGTAATGATTCCGAATGTGAAAAATTGTCTTTCGTTTCCATTTTTCATTAAATTTGCGGTATTTCCCGCTGAATCGTTCGCCCGATTGGATTTAAACTCGGCCGGCTTTAATTATTAACAACGTGTTGAATGATTGAGATTATTTAAAAATCCAATTGCGAACAGAAGCCACATATGTACAAACGAGTTTATCGCCGAGCTTCAGCCGGGATGGTTCACACGCTTTTTTCACTTCACTGTATTGAAACTGGGCGATTTTCTCAACCATGAACCCAATAAGTTGTTCACAGTGTAAAAATGTGCGAACTGAAGGGAGGAACAACATGTTCCCCAGTCCATATTTTCCTAACACCTAATTAAGTCGGAGATTTACGGCCGTTTAAAATATTTATGCCGCGCAATAAGTCATATCGGCTCGACAGCTTAAACGTACTTAAAACAGTATATCTTTGTTAGTGCACAAACTGGTGTATTACAAAGTGTACTTTTTTCCTACTTGGAGGCAGGATGGTCAATAATAAAAAGCAGATGTTTTATGTTTGGTAACACACTCATTTTCGGGTTTTTTGCTTCCTTCTCTAAATCATGCTTGTCTAAAGTTAATTGTTCAATGGCAGATGTGAATGTATTCTCAGTGTTTTTGTACTTTTTTACAATTAGACACTAGTTTCCATCGTCAACCAGAAAGCCATTTTTTTTCATGATATGAAGCTTATATGCTTGAAAGATAGGTAAACGTTTGTTTTGCTTTTCCAGATCGTGATTTAGGGCGTGATCGTCAGCAACTGAACTAGATTTAACATTTTCGTACCATAGTTCACTATTCGCTCCTTATATTGCAAATATGGAGAGAGATTGGTCCCATTTTGTTACGATTCTCTAGTTCTATGGTGACGATCTATCGCGTATCCTCCAGTTCTCCATACCAGCTGAACAACACTACATGGAAGATTTTGCCTTGCACTTTCCACCGCGAAGGAAAGAGAGAGTCAATTTTCGTTTAGACTATAAAAACTGTCCAACTTTCCAGTGCGAACTAAAAAGTGGTCACTTTAGCCTTATTACGTTTAATAAAAAAACTTAAAACACAAATGTGCAATGAGAAACCTAGCAAGTCAATCAATGCATTTATGTGAAACTCCTAACGAATCAAAGTTTATCTCTAAATAGTTTCCAATGGAATGAAAGTCATCATCGTTGGCTCCAGGGTAAATACCAATTAGAATTAGCAAACCCCTTCAGTACAAACTTCTCGATAAAGAAACCGTTAACTTAGTTAGTTGTTCCCGATATCCAGAAGTTCAAAGCGAGAAACCGATATCGATCGGATCGGGCACAGCATCTCCAACATAAATAAGTATTATTCCAAAGGCCATTAACAGAAATGTAAGCGAGAGAAATGTAAATCGCCTGCGGTCCCAAAAACGAAACTTCCAGAAAGAGGATCCCACAAGCAAAACTCCAGGAATGATTTATACATATATTTTTCGACGGTTAAGCGAGTGCCAGTCGTTCCGGACTTGAAAACTTTTGGAAGTCGGACGGAAAAGCTGGACAGCCGTCGCGATAAAGTTATCAGAGAGGGGCCATCAATCAACTCGGCGTCAAGACAAATTGACTTTATATGGGCCATGGCGTGTATTCGACCTTTTCAAAAGCGAAAAAAAGCGGAGTTGAGGATTTGTTTCTACGTGTGGAGAAATTGTTTGCGTACAGAAAACCAAATTTCTGCCAGTTGGCGATTCTTTCATCCTGTGTCAACAGCCAAAGCACACAAATTCTGTACCAAATTCTTCCAGTAAGAAACATGCCACTGATTGTGGATCGAATGAGGAATAGTTTTGGCTTATTTTCTTGATGTGCGTATTTAATTCGGGGACACCGTATTATTTTTTCTTATTGTAAATTTTGAAACAGAGCATCTAAGTATGTTGTTTCCGGGGCGCGGTTGTTTAATAACACCACTTTTCAGCTATTTTTGTTCATTTAAAGATTATTAACTGTAGGAACCTTTGGAGCCTCTTTCATAGAACATAACAGTGATAAATAGTAGTTTTCGATACTAGGGCGAAAAGTGTTGTTTTTCGAACGACGACGGCGTTTGACCGGCGTCAATCCGTCAGGAGTTCGAAAAACGGATTTTCGCCCTCGTATCGAACACTATTTTTTATTCGAATAAAGCACATAACACGAATAATAAGTTATAATAAATAAAAATAGCCAAAAATAAAAGCCGTCAACTTCATATTTCAAATTTGATGTCAATGCCATTTTTGAAATTGTCGTGTTTTGACGTTTGTAATTTTTCAAAAGCGTACTTTTGAAGGCATATACAAGTGAAAGAATGAGTGTTGAAAATCCAAGTGCTGCTTTCACGGTATGGTGTTTGTATAAGATACATATTTTGCATAAAATTTGCGACATTTAAAAAAATCGTGTTTTGCTTGTGGCAACATCGGCGAGTTAAAAAAATAGACCATTTGAACGACTTTGAGACTGAACTTGTAACAAAGTTATAATTTACAAATTGTAAGTAAACTTTAAATTATGGTCAATAGTTCTCTATAAACCTGCAAAATTCATTAAAAAAGCATATCGGTTACTTTTTAATGAAAATACTTTAAAAAATATAATGACAGTGACAGGTTCAATTGGTCACATTTACTTTTGCGCACATGTGCGTTAAAGTCCGTGCGTCAAAGTAAAACAAATGAACAGTAAAAGAAAGTGCTTCTTTGTGATCATCGCTCTGATCGAAAAATGGCACTTTTAGATTCATTCGATTAAAAACATCTTTATTAAACCGTCCAAGATTTATGACTTTACATTCAACGTTCATCCTGAAATGTTGAAAACTTCTGGTACGTTAAGGAAGACGAAACAGTGCGCAAATTTTTTCTTTCTATATTCAACCGGAAAAAAATATACATGTTCAGTTATAGTGCGTGGAAACAAGTATGATACTTTTTTAGTTCTCTTTTAAGAAGCGAACTCCTGCTCAGAAACCAACGCTTTCGAAAACTGACTCCATAAAACAAAAATCAACCTTACAGCTTAAGTTCCGCTACAGCTTTTCTGTATTACGGACTGTAATTTAAAGACCCCGCAAGATTATGCACTTATACGTCAAATTCGCCAAATTACCTTCATTTATACGAGTTCAACAACATAGCAACATATTTTTTAGCTATGTTTATACTATATTACAGCTGAGTTAGTAATCTTTCCGTGTAGAAATGTGAGGAAACTTAATAAATACGATTGAACATTTTTCTTAAACACTCACCATAAAACAATCGGGACCCTGTAAACAGGCATCTTTGTGGAGGGCTCCATTGACAAACTGAAAAAAAAATCCGTAAGTTAAGGTGAAAAATCATAGCAAAATAAATATATCAACAGTTAAAAAACAGACAAAAAGAAGTTGCTTAGAACTAAATACATCAGTTCTATTAGTGGAGGAAAATTCATGTTTTTCAAACGTTTTTGATGGGTATGTTGCCTCAAGACTAGTTTTTTGAAAAGAGACCATTTCCTCACGTCTTCTATTGCAGAATAATGAATAGAATTAAAAGTTACAAACATTTAAAGGATCGTAGCAACTTTAATAAAGGGCCAAAATATTGAAGTTTAATTCTGCGCATTAGTTATTGAAAAGACAAACATTTTGTGGTTTTGTAATTTCTTTAAGGGATATGTGCAACAGACGCAGCAAATATTCTGTCGATTTTATAAAGCTTCGCCCGTTTTAAGAAAACTAGAGGAAATCTTCAAACTTGACAATGTTACCCAAATAAAACCATTTCCTCCGAAACAAAAATGCCATTCATTCTGTTCCATATCCAGGTGTAACTGACGTTTTTTTTAAAACATACATTTTAAAAGCGCCCGTTCGGCAATATTAAGACCTCAGCAATAGCAGACGTATTTTCCAAGAAAAAAGACCATTTATATATTTTACAGTGGAATATGCCGACTATGCCGCCCCCTCAGTTATGTATTCAGTTATTACCACGGTTATTGCTGTTAAGGCGTTACAGTAGTTGGTCATATTGTGAGAAAAGAAATAAAAACGGCATTTCCTACAACCGTTTTCTCGTAATTTCACAAAGAAATAAAAGATAATTTAATGAAACAGCAGACGATAAATAGGGGGAGAAACACATTAAGGATGTTAAAAGAATGCAAAGTTTAAGGTTTTTATAACCACTGTTCAACTAATAATCTTCAATCTGTCGAAAAAGTAATAATCTTCAGCAATCTTCACGAAGACTGCATTAAATAACTTCAAGAAGAATGTTTTACTCTACAAATGAAGATGATTTTTTAGCGTCCGAAAATTCAAATCAAGGGCTTTTTTCGCGGCTTAAGTGGACAAATTATTTTTGGAGAAAAAACACATTGCCGACAACAGTAATTTTTTTCTACCTCCCAAAATGTATGTGAATTCCGCTGCCAAATTTTACTAAAGTTGTAAAACTTGACTTCAATTTTACTTTTCGTATTGCTTATATGCTACTATCGTTTTAGAATCTGTGAAACAAGACAGGGATACAAAGCCAAGCACAAATTGAATAAAACGACCCTCAGAGTAAAAGTTGACGTGCAGACATTTCTGCATGCTGAACGAGTAACTAGACTATCGTGTTTAGCACTTACAGCTACAATTTAAGTGTCTTACTCCCAGATAAAATGAGACAGATTGATTAAAACTAATACGTCCAACTCTCCAACTTGCAGTTATTATCTGCATGCCCAGTCCCTGGAATCCATCTGAGCGATCAATTTAAATACACATACATAATATATGACAATTTAATTCTCTCGCTTGATTAATTCCATCATTCCGACCGTCAAACGGCCCGGAGTGAAAAGGAGCAGTGAAAATAAGCTAAGACCCTCTTTATAATGAATTCTATCCTATTACCATGTTAATCGAAAACGAGCAGCCAGCACATTGGCTCTGACCCTTTATTTTATTTTTTATTTTTTATTTTTCTCTCCGTAGTTTAGTTTTTAATCGCTCCGCTTTATAAACAAACGAATGTCAGCCCGGGAGGTATGCGCCGAACATTTGATTAACATTTTCAATTAAACTATTTCGTTTCTTTAATGATAGTTTGAGGGTGAAAACGATTTGTTTGGAAGCAATGGCGGAAAGGTGGCAAGAACTCGAGCGGTGTGAACGCTGGGGGCGTTCATTCTAAAGCACAAGTTATTTCCACGGTAAGTTGATCACGAGTTTTGAATTTCCTTGTTACGTCGCAAAAAAAATGAACTTAGCAGTTTCATAAAAAGTTCACTAAATTATATCCTTGAAGTTTCTGGGACTCCGGGGCTAAAATTGCCTTTGCTTTAACTTTCTGCAGCAATGAATTAATTTGATTCTAAACTGGACTGAGTTAGATTAAAATATATCTCCGATCTTTGACAAATTTCTGGGTTCCGAAAAAAGCCCCAAGATGAATCAATTAATTTTAATTGTCGCTTTGCCCAACGAAAAAAAAAAGCGAATGCCATAAATTCGAGGTCCGATCATCACGAAATCGGCAGGTAAAAACGGTCTACGTTGGAGAATGTCCAGGGACACACAAAACGCATTAGGAAGGTACCTTCTGCCATGTTTACACATGATCACTACTGGCTTAGAACCGCGTATTGGTACTGAAAACTCTAATGGCCATGTTGGCGTTAAGCTATTTTATGCAGAGCCATTAATTTCATTTTTATTTATTGGACATCAGCTGCGATCTTTATAGCCAAGCTTTTTCGTCTTCGGGACGATGTCGCCATCCGAAGTGACTTGAACGGTTGGGTTTTGGTTCGATTTATTCGTTTTCTCCATAATTAATTACCAAATCCCAAAGCTCCTAGAACATTAGTGAGCCTCTATTTAATTCATTTTGTCCGGCCAACACTGTAGAAATCAGTTCGAACGATATTTTTTCTATGCACGAATTTGTCCCGATATTTATTTGAACTTTTTAAAAGTGCTATTTCTTAAGGGGTAAATTTGAAAGCGAAACTTTTTGGTCATTTAAAAAGCCATTAATACAGAATGCCCCACCAGGAACTACCGAGATATACATATGTACTTTTTTAAATTCTACTTCAAATTCTAAATATATTTTATGCATTAAAATATCTAATGATATATTTAAAATTATCTAGTTTTTCTATAAGGAAATATGTGATATTTAATGTAAATTGCATTCTTTAATGACAAGCACTTACTTTAATATAATTTTGATAATAGTTCCTATCAGTACTTAGGTACAAAGTGTTGAAAACATAAATTCCAAAATAAAATTGAGACTGACCCAAAATCAGTTTTTTCAAATTGAAACGCCCAATTTTGATTAAGTATATTATCTTATTTAGAATTAAAAATAAGAGTCAGTTTGTGTTGAATCCGCAGCAAGATTCCATATGAAGACATTAAATTGCCAATATTTCGAAAACTAAACACTTTTGGAATAGACAACCTCAAACAAACTCACGCTTATTTTTAATGGTAAATAAGATAATATTAAATTTAGAGATTGAAATTGAACTTTGAAACTTATTTTTTTCACCTTGTGTATCAATAGTTATCAAACTTTTATTGAGGAAGTTCTTTCATCAAGAAATGCAACTCAAATTGAACAACCTATATTTCCTTATAGAAAAAAATTATAATTATTCTGGTGCCTGAAACTGTAATTTTTCGTATAAAATTTCAAATATGAGCCTACTTATATTAAAAATGACTGGACTTAAAAATGCAATAATATACAGGGTGATTCATTTAAAATTAGCAAGATGATATCCACTGAAGATATAACTGGAAGTGTGTCCATCTTGAAAATAGTTTGATTTCTCCTAAATATTTATAATTAGACCATATTTATCGCTGAGACACCCTGTTCATTTACTTTTACAATTTTCAACTATTTAAATTTTTATTTAATAACAACTTATTTGTGGTTAGTTTTCAAATAGTGCTCTTCAAAACTTAAAATGTATATCAATGTCACACTTGCCCAAAGCTCACTTTCTTTGGCCTGAATCAAGTCCCTGACATATTAAACACAAAAATTATTGAAAAAAAAAACATTCTTAGATCCGATTAATTTTACAGACGAACTGCCATTAATGGCGAACTTCCTGTATTACTACTTAATAATAATCCCATTTTCGAAATAAAAATTGATCCTCAATTTCCGCTCTTTTGCTTTAGTAGCAGAAGGTCGGTGCACTTTACATCACCCCGTCTCACATGTAACAACTTGGCCACCTCCAAGCTGAATAAATGCATGCGCCATTTCCCCCTTGTGAAGCCTTCAATGCTTCGTCATATCCTATTAAGGTCAAAAGATGATAATTTACAATAAAACGGATTTCATCGACAAAGACCAAAATCCATTTATACCATCGGCCCTCCTCAAAATACACCGAATCGAAAAGAACCAGTGGAGCATATTAGATTTGTGCGCATAGTACCAATAACAACATCAGATCGGGGGCTTTTGTTTGATGATGGGCCAACTGGCCCCTATTTGTGACTCAAAACGTCCCTTGCCGGGTGACTAAATTATATTTAACATGGTCAGTTACCCTTGGCCGAGGAATTCTATGGGGAATTTGACTTTTCGCGAATTGCACTCAGTTTTTTGGTTGGGAGTTTTCGTATTCCAAAACCCCAAAGAACCGGTAGCACGCTATTTAAACCGACCGTTTTCACTTGGTGCTTCCCATGGCCGACAAGCAGGCCAGATTCAACATCGATGGATTTTTGCTTTTGCTGTCTAAAGTGAAAAATTCACATTGGGTTCAATTTTCGATCTGAACAGATACATTTTTCTGTGGGAGCAACCATGGAATTAATCGCTTTGCCAAATTTATAAATCTCGACTTTAAAAAGTGTAAAATTAACGCGTTGCAATCCAAAAACTATTAATAAAGCGCACATGCTGGAGGGTGGATAAATTTGATAGGATAAATCAGAGGGTGAATATCGATAGTTCATAAATATCTATTTATTTAGAAAATTGTGACAGTCGAAAAAAGCAAATAGGGGCCGGGAGTCATTAAAATTCACGTAATGGAATCTATTCTGTTTGGCTACTGCCATAATTGGTATTTTTAGTCGATTTATGCACTTAGGTGAAAACACCTATTGTTATTCGGGTAATTAATAGTGCGCACATGGCTGACGCCCGATATTTAGAAGGTTTGCAGGCGGCGAGCATGGCAAAAATGTAATTTATCTCTTTGAATACTAATTTATATGATTATATGAAGAAAAAATAGCAATATAATACAATAAGTAAGTACACAAAAGCTACGCTGCCAGACGCATCA